GCCTCTGGGATTATAACTCGGTTGGAAACACTCACAACCTGATTACTTGTTTCATGTAAGTAACGGAGGATTTGACTATGGTGAGTGTGGAACAGCTAGGGTCAGAGTCCTCCACCGCCGTGCAAGAATCCTAGAAAGGTGCGCCTCGATTGGGTGGTGCATCGACATTAGTGATACGGAACACAATGAGTTGATAGAGCGGTTTCAGCTACGAATACCAGTTGGAAGTCGAAGGAGCAAACACAGACTGAACGGTTGCACCGAGAGTGCAAGATCACAGGGGTTTTGTAGCGACTTCGTAGATGCCTTTGTTGAAGGAAACCCGATTGTTTCCAAATACATGTAAATACTGGATGAACAACTGGACTTTATGGTCCAAGGTTCGAGCCCCACCACCGCCACCCAACTTTGATGGTAGGCAGCTTTGCTGTTGTTCGGTTCAGTAGCACGCTTGGCCTAAGGGGGCCTTATGTGATCCGTCACTCCAATTTCAACAGAGCTTAGGTTGTCGGTTACCTTCACTGGATGGCAAGTCTTCACGACTGTGGGGTACGCCCCATCTGCTGTTCATCACACTAATGTGTGTAATAACAAAAACTAACAATGTTTGATATTTGCTCGTAATTCGTTCCCTTTATGCTCTACCCAATACGGATGTGAATCATCTAATGCAAATGTGCATATCTCAGAGTTCACAAATCAATATTTGTTATATGGAACCGAATATGTGGTGTCTCCACCTGTTACTTGAAATAATCTAATGGCACCCATCTATTTTAGTTCACATTCCCACCTCTGATAGGTGCATAGGAACGATGATATACAGAGAACTGAGCGAGACGGATAAGTTTGACGGAGAAATGCGTTTTAGTTTCTACAATCATTAATTAAATAATCTATAGTATGCTTTAAATGTGTCCGGCAGTGTCCAGTTATGCAATATTGAATCATGTTTAAACGGTACACATGATGGATTAAAGATGATCACCAAAGTCACACAGCATGACTGAGCTTATGGTTGCATCAATTGTCGAAACAGTAACAATTATATCGAAGTTACAGCGACCATTATAACTGGTCGTGAGTAGGTAGCGCAGATAAAATCAGTACCAAACAGTCACATTGATGGCCGATTTGCTTTAGTTAGAAGTCATACCAACTAAACTTTTGATAGGAAAAGCGCTATTTAAATGTGATGGAAATCTTCGAGATGGCTGACTGAACCCTAGATTCCCGCCGGTTGAGACTCGTCAGTAGTGCTTACCTTTTGTGTCAGGGTCCAAATCGTGGACTTTAGAGTTGAGAGTCAACATCCATACCGCTGAGCAACAGGGTCGACGGTCATTATCTTGTGAGAGAATGACTGATTCAATTAATTTGGAATAGCCCATGGGCTATTGTGGTGATCCAGACATACGTGACCACATTCCAAGTACGACCAGGTACAGCTTCATGTCATCCAATCAAAGTTCAGGAAACAGGACCAATGATACACCGAGCGAACATTACATCAGAGTTAGTACATGCGAGGCGTTTGCGAAAACGGTTACGTTAATGGACGATGGTCCTTCAATCAATGATGTGGCCAACTGCTTTATATAAAACATGCTTTATTTCTGTCAGTAAACATTGGCACTTGCTGCTACCAATTCTCCTTGTATTTCATTGGTGTCCGCATTTCGGGATGGAACTAAACAAGTTCTGATCATTACAGTACGGGTTCTCGTATTCCGATTGAAAATACACTTCTGATCGCCACAAGCCTAGACAATGAAGTTTCTCGGCACGTGGAACGTACGAGGACATATCCTCAAGCCACCGAAACAGTGTCGATCGATATTCTGTGATGTATCAACCCAATCAGTTGTATTCATTGTGCTACTAGTTTTGTGAAAGTAAACTTATTTGTGTGATTCGGTGCCTCATATGCCAGTAGCACGGGACTGAAGATAAAATGCTATTAAGACATTCACAATTCGATAAATCGTAATAGATTTGATTGATTTCAAATCTGACTTCCGAATGTGACAGGTCGAGGGAAGTAGATAACGTTAAAATAACTACACTCCATTCTGAATGGCCAGTTATAGCTAACTTAACACGTTGAGGGATAATTGATCTGTCATTAAAAGGACTCTTAAATGACTGCGTAGGATCAGCTAACATGAACGAAACATTGTTCTACTCTCCGTGTTCATCGCGGACTAAATCCCGAGGATGTCCACAATTCTGGCTCGAGAATACACCGTAGTCGTCACGAGGCTCCAGTTGTGTTGGCAACAAATTACGGCAGAGATGAAGCTTCCGATTCGGTCGCAAATCACACACCTGTCAGATTAGTGGCCTTGGTGACTGTTGGAAGATCGCAATGTAGATATCATTCGGTAGACAAAAATACATACTTTATCTGGTTGGTTCAAACAACGTTTACCACTCAAATTCGATTTGTGCGCTCCAGTGTCAAACTAAGCCTCTGTCAACTTCAACATCCAGATGCTAGGACAGTGACAACCAGATAGTTTTGGTGGTGGTGGCCCGGTGATAACTCTTTCCAATTATCACCCCGGATGGTGTGCATGTGTGTTCGAAACCCATCGCCACCACCACCACCACCGTCTGACTTTCCCCATTCTCTGTGTGTTGTATGACAGCCCCATTTGATTGGCCACTCCCCGCGTTCCTGAAAATTGCACAATTCGATTTGTTCAATGNGTAAAAATGAGAAGAAAGAAACGGAATTTACCCCCTCCCCCCGTCTACCTCATTCAAGCCAGAGGGGGTGAGGCGGAGAGAAACATGCTGATGTGTGTTGCCGGGTCTGTTGAAGGGTGTCTGTTTTTCATCTCAAGTCACGACGTGTGAATAGACTAGTCAAGTGAACTACCATTCATGTCACCTACATTAAAACGTCAGGCATGTGTCTGTGCATGCGCTTTGCCTTCTCCTATTCTGTTCATTCCGCATTGTCAGTCCAATAAAAAGACACTGCCACAATACGATAAAAACCCACCTGTCCCCTTTTGGTTCCAGTCGCAAACAATTTTTCATGAAGAAAACTACTTCTATCGATGCTTTGTGAACATTAAATGTACCTTTCTGGTATGCTTGTGCTGAGTTTATGCCAGTTTTTACCCGTGTAATATTCGAGATCGGCACGCACAGATTGTTCACATACACATTTAACTTCATGCTTCCTATTTCCGTCAGTGGCATGATGGTTTTATGGTATACAAATTGCAATGGACAATCGTTTCTGATCAATTAAGACTCGTCAATAATGGTTGATTGTTTATCACCTACCATTCCTCGGTCCCCTCCTCTCCCCGGATGACTCGAACCACGAAAATTCGGTTTAGGAGTTGAAACCATGACCAGCGTCAGATGGTGTCAATTGATGACACCCCGGATGCGCCAAACGGAGAGGAGGTATGACCATAAATAAACACGTGTCTATTGTTCTCTGCAAGTATATAAAAAAAATCATTCAAATGTATCGTTTCCGTTTTACGAGAAACCTAGTTTGGTATTTTGTCTAGGAAGCTTGCCTCTTGTGTAAGTACATAAGGACCAGAGAACATCGGACATCTAACATCACTGTAGGGAACAGTGCGACACAAGAGGCGGAAATCTATTGTGGTGATTCTAGCCAACGAGATAACGCCAGCCACGGTACGACGCTTTACACATTCTGACCAACGAACCACAGACTACGTGGTCCAACCAATCAGAAGCCATGCGATCCAAACGGAAGCTGTGTGACATCAAGAATGCAAGCAGGCTAATGGTAAAGACTTGTTTAACCAATGACGTTTCTTTGTACATATTATTTATTCCCACTGAGTTTACTCAATACACTAACCGCTACTTCGGTGGCCTATTTCCTGCGTCTCAGTGAAGCAAGATTCCAGCCTACCATTTTTTGTGCAATTCTGTGCTTCAGTTATAACTGTAATCCGCACGTATTTAATTACTACATATTTATCCTGAATTAGATATGGGAATAAAAGAATCTATACCATTTTCTTATATATATATATATATTCAATTGTATTACGATAAAAAGTAATTTATTAGGTACAATTAAAGTCGACTTCTTATTTGCACTCAATAGACCGGATATGAATGATCTCTATCGATTTTTCACTTCCATCAAATGATTGTTTCAACTTATCGGTCTGGGACTCCGTATTTCTGTTGATTTTTCTTCTTTGGAAGATCTGTTTTGTTCTCTCTCATTCTATTGTCACTGAACTCACATTTTTGATCAACTGTTTCCAGATAGCATTCTGGTTTATGAGCAATATGTTACTCTGCTTTAAATCATAGTGTTGTGTGATACTACTCACCTTTGTGAGTATTACGCAAAATAATGTGTTTGGCAGTTTCTTTCAACGATCAAAAATGAACAAGACCACTGAGAGCGAATTGTTGTGCTCAAAATAATAACTACGAACTATTCCAATCATTACTCCTCTGTGCTGCCAGGAATTGTGAAGATATGTTTCAAAGGAGATATCTTGTTATATATATGTCAAATTATCGATATCCTGACTGCCAGCTGCCATAAACAACTATTCTCAACCAGACAACTTCTTGCGAAATTATAACAGTAGGAGTAAATTCTGTTTAAACAATGCAAGTTCTATTGCATCAATGTCACCGTAGCGCATGTCAATCATTTGGTTCTATTTTAACAGGACCGATGGCAAACTCTACAGTTCCATGGGTCACGTGCGATAGTCCGACCATATTGAACGCCCAGTCACGTGACCCCCCCCCCCGCCCTGAGGATCCATGGTGTCTCCTCGGGGAGCAATCACCTTCACCTGCTATCTTATTTTATCAATGAGATGTGACAATGAACTTGGTTTTCTGCTCTAAAATGGCAGGTTTCAAATCCGGATCGGTGGTCTACGCGGATCTCAACAGAGAACACTTACATACATGTAAATCCATTTCACCAAAAGCATAGATCGAGCAAAGAATCCCCGAGATAAAAGATGAGGTCAGTTGGAGGAAAGAGAAAATTGCACGGATCCTATTTGTATGCATTCAATGATGGAAAAGATTGACTGGATACAACTGGTGTTTACCTCAATCAGAAACCCGCTGACACTACATGACTAAGGTTATAAATCTACAAGACGGTACCGGGACGAGGATCGTTATTTGTTATGAATAACGGTAAAGTAGCATACATTCAACAATATATCTCATTCGGAAAAGCTCACCGGAGTGAGATGACGCCTACCCTGGAGAGGCGCGTTACAGTTTTTGGATACCTGCGATCAATCGAATTTCAAAGATGACGTCAGTGACGCTCGTACGTGTCACTGCTTCTGACTACATACCACAAGTAGATCGTGACAGCCAATCCGAGACAGTCCAGTCCAGACAGAAGTAGAATGATGCAAGAAGTACTGGAATGCGATTGGTGGAAGCCTGGATAATCACTGATCTTCTTTGGTACATATTATTTAATCGCCCTCATTTCTTCCAATAAACGAACTACCATTCCTGTGACCGTTTCCTTGCGTCTCAGTCACGTGGGATATTGTGTGTTAGTGCCACTGCGGTCCAGTGCTTACGTTACCCATTTCGTGATAGCTGAT